AGCATTGGGCGAACGAGGGTGCACCCGTGATCGCGCGAGGGGAAAGGGGGGCTGTGACGTAAAAAAGGCGGGAGAAGAGGTCTTTTAACAACCAGACTCATTAGGAGCCATGCTGTTCGCTTTTTACACCGAGACATTTGTAAGCAATACAGACTTCAAAAAACAAACTCGCCGGACACCTCAGTTTGCTCGTTTTTGCCATTTCTGTTGCGACTCTCTCTTCATCCCCCTTTTGCGAACGTTTAAGGGTGTGCGAAGGTATTTTAGTTGCTAAATGTTACAACTTCCAGCGAATTTAATATTCATCCATCTTCTATTTCTTCATTTTTTTGTAGAGTTTATAAGATTCATCCCTTTCACTGACCAAATTATTTCAACTTCCTTCTTGCTCCACAATTTCATCAATTGAAGAGAAGGAGCACGGTTAGTAATAAATGTGTGATTCATTCGTTCCACCCCGCTTCTCGATTGCACGCCGATTGACCGCGTATCGCGAATATCGATGATTATATTATTATCGCGAGGATTTTATTGAGCCACAGTCCAGGGACTTATCCCGGCGAAGTTTAACGCCTGTAAAGTCGGCGAGCTTATTACCATAATCGAGATAAACGATAGATAAACTCGTGTCATCGCTATAATTCCTTTTGATAAAACGGCAGATCGCTGGCCTGGCGGCATTTTAATGAATTTTTACGGAAAGATAAATGCGACAGAATTAATAAGGTTATCGCCGTAAACTCCGTAATCACTGTTATAAATTCCGTTTCCAACTTCTTATTCTCCTTCTTCGTCTTTCTACGAGTGAACAAACCCGAGCGTGGCAGCCTCAATGATCCGTTTTTTTTTTTTTACGACCTGAATAAATTTGGAATTGTTTCACATTCTTGTATAGCCTGGAAATTTTTGTCGATTTAAATATTTGAGAATTTAAAAAATGAAAAATTTTCAGAAGGGAAAGGAGTCAGGAGTGTCGGTTGAGTGTGTTCCTGATCTGTCAGGAACTCGTTAAATTACAATGATTAGTAGCAAACCCGTGCGCAGTTTGCACACCATCTCCAATAAATATTTTTGTTATTGAGGGAGGTTTCGAAATCTTTAAACCACTTTCTCTCCCAGCTTTCTCTCTGGGCTCTTTCTTCTTCTTTTTCGACACCCTTTCTTTCTACTTTTTTTTTTATTTTTTTAGCCAGCGGGTGCCCCATGAAGCACCCTCTGTGAGACTGTATAAGGGATGTCACACCTTTAGGGAAATCTTTAGGAGACCAGGAGGTACCCTTACTTACGGTGCATCAACTTTCTGTAATTAAGAGCGAAATAACGAGGGAGTTGTCGAACGCGGGTTTAATGATTACGAACACGCACGAAACCCCCGAAACATATGTTCCTCTCCGACCAACACTTCCTGTCGTTAAACGTCTGCGTGACTACCGACTCGCGTTTACAAGCGACGCTCGTTTCGCTGGTCGTGTTCGGTGAAATTAGCGAAAAACAACGAGTTTACGTCATAATGCGTCGAGTCGATTTTTCAAAACGACACCAGACGATTACCGCTTGACACCTTTAATTAGCGTGAGTGTCTCTTCGTTGTTTGTTCGCTGTACACGAAAGCTGAGCAACTCGCGTGTCCCGTTGAACAAGGAGAAAAAGATTCGAAACGAGGCTTTAAGAGACGCTTGGCGTCCATTCATCTCCGAAACGTCCAAGCTAAACATAGGCTTTGGTAACCGAGGGTCGCTTTTAAAAAGCTTCTTTTAATGCTATCTTCCATCGATAACCGTGTATCCTTTCCGTTTCTCAAATTAATAGCGAAGTTAATTGCCAAATGCATTCCGATCGTCAAAACGGGCGCAGACCCGAGAACTCTGAAATATTCAAAGTTGCTAACTTTTAATCCAGAATTAACCATCATTACTCCACTTCCAAGTGCTTCAAAGGTTGCACCGCCGATTTAGGCACGAGTATAATCGCCTGCGGTTCGATTCGTTTTGCGTATTAATCGCGGCGCGAGCAATTATACGGTGCTAACGACCAGGCTGACGTACGAGCCGTCGCGTTTTCGTAAACACGCTTACAGAGGCGTAACTGGCGCAGCTGCGACGAACGCTCGTGTTTCTTGAATTTCATGGACCGTCTCGACGGTCATCTCGCAAATTGCACCTGTCACGAGGCGTCGTAATTAGCGCGTCCTGTGCCGCCTGTAATGTCCGCGAACGTGACTCTTTAACGAAGATCCGATCGAGGATATTTAAGCGGTGCGAGAACACTATAATCCCTGATTTTAGTCGGGGTTGTACGCACAAATTACCGGGTGATAGCCAATTTTTCGCGAGATGATTCTGATATTAATTAGCAAAATTTTGTAAATTGTGAAACGTATTTCCATTAGAACATTCTTCAAGGAATATTACCGAACGGTCGTCAAAGTGTCTCCCGGGTTTCAGAAATATTTCTTACAGTCAGCGAGTGTCGTCAAAGCGGAGCAAAGATGAAAAAGAATACTCTGGAGAGCCAATAAAGCGGTCGTCGGTTTAAAAAGAATTCAGCGAGCGGAGACGAGCGTGGCCGTTCGAGTGAGTCGGCATAACGAGGAAATTAACGCTAATGCGACACGGTCTAGCTTGGCTTCGCCACTTTTTATTCGCCTCCCCGAGAAACGCTAACAAGCACCGGGCTACGTTTCGCTAAATCACCGGAATGAAGTTTCCCCGCGGCGTTTTCCTTTTCCCTTGCAATTAACACTTCATTACCACCGCTCGTTTCCCGTGAAATCCGAACGCCTCGATGATCTATATTAAAACTGTACACCGCCCTTTGCATGCTCGTAAGAAATTATGTTTCTTACGGTCGCGCTTTAAATTTAACCCTTTCGCTAAGTCGTCGAACGCGAGGCGTTCGCATTTCGAAATAGCCGAGGCATGCGCGACGGAAATTTTCGTGCGATAGAGTAATTATGAAAAATTTAAGATTGATTGAAGTTAAACGGAGAAATCGAGGGTCGAGGGAAACGCGTGTAATTTTCTGCTCGTTCGCCGTCCCGGTTATATTTAATGCTTTAATCCGGCCGGGCGTCGAGTGATCTAAACACACGATAAATCTCGACGGACGGACGCGTTAAAAAGCGGCAACAAAACGTTCTCCAAGCGGAAGCGTTAAGTGGCGTCGCGGAGAACCGCGCACGCTTCCGTGCCTGCCCATTAACGGCTCGCTTAAACTGTTCTACTTAAAAAGAGACACCCTCTTTACGGAACGATATTAATGATTTCCCAAAACTCTCGAGCCGTGTGAAAACTCTGATCAGGACTTTGCCGCTCTCCTTTCACCGCTCGACGATCTTCTGGATCTCTCGAAACCGTCACGGACAGCTGCACTCGCGATGCACAATGATTTATTGCTGTTAACATTAGCCACTTATGATACTAGAAGAGTCTATTTCAGATACTTGTACTCGCTTTGTGAAATGATCGGTGGATTTTTCTTGATTAACGCCGTTTCAAATTACCCTTCGTTTTTCAACGCGTTAATCTCGAAGCTTTTTTTTTTTTTAAATACATTTTTTCCTTTTCCTTCATAAGCAAGTTGCAGCGGGAAACAGTTTATGGATTCCCAGGAAGCGCGAGCGGAAGCGGGCAGAAACAAATGAACTATTAGAACGTCGGCGAAAGCTGGAAGAAAAAGGGCGGGTTGCGGGCCAGTTAAGGGCTAACAAGTATATACACGGTGCGCTGGAAACGTATATCGAGCAGTATATACTTGTTAGCCGTCGAATTGGCTGGTAGGCGCCTCTTTAACTAGCCACGCATGGCGAGCACGTGTGGAGGTGTCGACTGCCCTACCACCCTCTGCGCGACCCTTTTCTTCGACCGTGACCCTCCCCCTTATTCTTGCTCTCTTTCTCTTTCTTCTTTCCTCCATATCCACTCGTTTCTTCGCCTCCTTTTCCGCCACGCTCCATTTCACGCGGCATGAAATCCGAGCGAAAATATTTGGGCGCCTCATGCAATTGGCCGCGACTCCTTCTCGCGTTCCTCTTCCATCTTCCTGAAAGGAATTTCGGCTTTTTACGCGCTCGTTTATCGCTTTGTCTCCTCTTTGTTTGATCTGTATCGTTGGATTAATGGGAAGCTCTGTTTTTAGAGGTTTACGGACGCAATAGAATTCGCAGTTGTTAATTAACTATTTGTCGTATGATTCAATTAAACAAGCCACTTGGCTCGACGATTCTATCTCAGCGAATTTAATTATGCGTTAAACAGCTAATTGTACAAATTCGTTCGGCCATTTAATTCGTTTCGCACAGATCCTCGATTTCCCTCATCGCACACTATTAATTAATATCATTTAATGATCGTATTCTGGTTCGAAGATTGGAAAGAATATCGACCTGAACGAAAGGTATACCTTGGTAGTCGCGTCTTAAGCCAGTTATTCGAGGATTTCACGTGGCTGTTTGAAGTTTGAAGGAGGGTTCAGTGGTGGTAGTTTTCTGCAGGGTGTATTCTAATTTCGCTAGCAGAGTCGCGATGAAATTGACCGTGTTACGAGTGAATGGACCGCGACGGGCGAAGACAATTGCCGAGCCGCTTGAGGATCAGCTGCGAGGAGAAAGCGGCTTATCAGGGAGAAAATGAAATTTAATTAACTGGAAACATCGCGAAATCGTCAAACATCACACGCGGCATTCCCGATTCAATTGTATAATTTACTGAAAGAAAGAAACGACATCCCTCGGTTCATTAATTTTGAAAAAATTTCCGGGTCTAATTTTAATACTTTATTAACTTAATTAAGTTGAATTTAAGCTTCATGAAAAAAAGGCAAAAATCAAAAGAGGATCATTAATTACTACAGGGTTAATCGACGAACGATTGACGTTAAATGGCTCGCGCGAAATGCGAGAGGGTGAGCGGTGGAAAAACAAAGAATGGAGGCTTATATTTCGGGGAGGATCGGACAGTAGGCCGGAGTAGAATCGAGGAGGGTTGGAGAGGGACGGGGGTAGTGGATGGGACGCGCAGGTTCGCCAATACAAAAGGGGAAGCCAGCGATTACGATCTTCCATTCGTTCGCTCGTTCCAATTATTTTGTCCAATTAAAATATCGATTTTCTCCCTCCGTTGCTGCTCTTTCGCGAGTACGTTCGCCTTTTGCTGTGTCGTCGTTCTACCCCTCGTCTAACTCCCCACTAACCATTCTACCCCTTATTCAATGGCAAACACCCTTCTTCCAGAGAGGAATACTGATTTTTAGTGCCCTAGACCAAACAAATTAGCGTTTCTTAATATCCCAACTAAATAAATTGAACATAGGTACACGTTTCTGAAGAAGGTCTTGGATACACCTGGAGAAAAACAGTTGTATTATTCGGTTCACCATAATTTTCGATCGAATGAATATTAATGAGATTACACAAGTGATTATGCTATTGAAGGCTACCTCGTTGATACACGTTTAACATAAAACAATGACAGGTGCATATTCAGAAGTTTGATGAAATCAACTCATTACTACATTCTGAAGATAATTTCATTTGACTTTTCGAAAGTTTACTTATTCAGAACTATATGCATGAATATCCAGAAAAATTTGCCAATTGAAAATCGAGAGAGAGGTAATGATCCGCGCTAATAGGATCGCTCGAAAGGAGGGAAGGAAATTTTCGCGAGGGTGATCAATCACGGGCGTTTCGCGAGTAGGGAACCAGAAGAGTTCCAACGGACGATTTCTTCCTTTTTCAGGGGAAGAAATTATCCTTCTAAACGGCTATTAGATACGACCGGCGTGTGGAAGTTCTCTGAGAATAGACGGTCTAATTCCGTGAACGGGAGGAAGCGAAGAACGGAGAAAGCAGATGATGGGGTGAAAGAGAAAGAGAGGGGGGGAAGTTGGAAACGGACCACCATGATTGCAATTTTAACGCCAATTTGACTTGAATCTTTCCTGGAGGAAAGAAATAGTGTTTTCATGCTCAATATAGCGGCCTGCTAATAATTAACAACCATACCATGCCACTTTGTCATTTATACACACAGGGTGTCCTCATAATTCTCATTCAAAATATTCTTTCAATTTTTAGATAATTAAAATTCAATCATGATGATCTTTTCTATATTCCATTGAGCTCAAGAAACATTATCGAATACACGTGTAGTTTGTTAAATTTTTCAAGCTCCTATTAAAAATCTGTCAATCGTGCAATGATAGAGATACGTTTTTCTCAGGGAACGAAACGTTGCAGAAACAGTTCTAGGAAATGTCGAGCAAAACTCGTTGACACACCGAGTACGTGTACAGAGTGGGTCTTGCAGAGCTAGCGGGTGGTCCTCATTATGTCGGCTTCCCCACCGCTCAGCCGTCCTATCTATTTAACGTATCGTTTGCCTTGGTAACCATCCAAATTGGCCCATCCCTCTCTATACACCAGCAACGACCATCTCCCGATCTCACTCGTGTTCTCCTTAATTATTGGGAAGTCGGTGTTTAATAACGTTCAGCTCGCGCGACCTTTAATAGAAAACACTCGTTTCCTGCAGCAACTTGACTCGACGTCAGAAACGTTTGCTCGTCGAGGCTTAGACGGATCGTACGGTGATTTTCTTTTTTCCAACCGGGTTTAAACGTCGCGCAAAATTATTTACGATCTTCGTGGAATTTCTATGATTTATCATCGGCCAGGTATTTCCTGATTTCCTGAAAATTGCATCAAGGAATTCAACGCACGTGCACCAGTTATTCGTATTTTAAGATATCAGAGAAGAGATGGACGTTGATTTTCTTAGTTCTTCCTTTATTAGGGACACTCAAGATCGTTTATATTCGCGTGTACGCAAATAGAAGGTTTATCAGTTGGACGAATCCTAAAGTCAATGGTCTGTGAATTTTGATGACTATGGTAACGAAAGATAGGAAAGTTGAATCGCTTTACGAGCTCCTTTATTGCGTTTCTGATTTCCTCGCGATTGATCGCCGCGAGAAACGATCCAGATTCGATATTAAAAAAGGAACGGTGGAATCGTAGAGGGATGGCGGACAAGGTAGTTAATTTAATTCATTTCTGTGTAAGAAAAGTTGACAATTTTTCGAAAACTCTTCGCAAAATGTGAAACAGCAGAATGATCCGGTGAAACGAGCGCGAGTTCGCGAATTCAATAAGCTATAACGTTGGCCGATAACGCGCGCGTAAACCGATTTCCCGTCGTCGAACGATACACGGGCCGATCTGTCCGCTCGAAACTACGTACAATTACCGTTTTAATCTGCAGTTTCTAGCGCTATAAATTGCCACGAGTTTACATCGACACCGACAAAAGGGAACGAGACGTCGCGAGCGAGAGAGAGTTCGCGCAGGGAAGTTGGAGCGATCAAATTTATCGCTCGAGCCAATTCCGCGCGCAAATGGAAGAACGTCGTATGAGCTTTTATTCCGTCGCGTTATCGACAGCCTCGATCGACCTTTCTTCTCTTTCCCCGTGTCTCGTTTTCACCGGTTATATCGAGCCAAGTCGCCGGTTGTGCCAACGGTACAATTAATTGCCGAGGAGACGCGAAAATCCGAGGTTCGCCCGTCGTATCCGCGGAGAAATATGAAGGAGGAACGGCTACGGAGTGATTTTTTAACGGCCACCGTTATTCCGCGAAACGATGTTTGCCGATGGTAATCTGTAGAATGGAACGGGAGAGAGGTGATATAGGGTCCCCGGGAAAATGAAGATTCGACGCGATTCTTTTCCACGCGATTTTCAACGGAAAAGCGATCCTTTACTCCGATACGAATTCGCGCGAAACAGAATTGATATACCGATACGACGGTGTGATTTGAAAAAAATAGATTCGCAATGTAAACGCGAGCAAATGATTCACAAATAACGATCATCTAATTGCAATTACAGCAACGCGTTTAACGTTCCTATAAACCTTGTAATTAGGATTAATGTAACTATAACGAGGATCGTTTCACGGTTTCGAACGTAACAACAATCGTTCCAATTAATGTATAATCCTAGTGGAATCAGATTGAATCGGTCGCGTATAAATAAAACGATCCGTTAATAGACGTGCAGTCAGGGTAAAATGTAATCAAAGCGCTAGTGCAGTTGATTCGATCGAACCGCGATGAAAATAATCTATTCATGACGCAGTATCGATATAATTGGATTAAACGCGTTATAATTCGAGGTACTATGGATATCTAATTACAGATATTTGCAAATATATAATCGTCCGATTACGTATGCAAATATCATAGACACTAATCGCGTTTGAATAGTAATGAAAGAGTTTCAAGTAAGCGTAATAATTTATTGGGAATACTAATCGTCAAGATCGCCGTGTAACTCGTTACATCAACAACGTTACACGAAAGATGCAAATGGGAAGAGAGAATCGATTTCAGCAAAGATATCGATCCCCTTTGCCGGGCGGATGAAGTGGCAGTAAGAGACGGCGGAAGTTCGCGCGATGAAATTTACGGCTGCAGCCAATTCCGCGCAAATGGAAGAGCATCATCTATGAGGTTTTATTCGGCCTGCTTATCGGCATCCCCTATCGGCAGGCATTTGTTTTTGCTTATCGTCGGGCTACGTCAACGGGCCACCGTAAATATGACGGACGGATGCGACGATGGGATCTCAGCGGCGTCGGAACAAACGAGCGCTACACGGACGTAGCCTGAAAATCTCGACGGCTCGATTTAGGGGGATGAACGACCGAGAGTCGAACTTCCGTGCCCGACAGGGGCTCTTGTTCGACTACGAATCGATATACCTGGCTGCGCGAACCAACGAAATCCACGAGTAAAGGGCTGCTCCGACAAAACTTCTCTTCTCTGGCTCCTTTTCAATCATCGTTTCTATGTTTCTGAAAGGGGATGGTTCTTTTTTATGTACCAGAAATGGACATTGGAACAACCTTTCCGATAAATACGAAGATGGTTTACAAGTCTCAAATTCTTTTAATTAAAATTGTGAAAGTGCATGGTTGTGATGGTGTCACGATATTTAATATTCGAAGCTCAAGGAAGAGAGCAGGTTGGATCAATAACGAGAGGATGATCGAAAACGAGCGAGGCTGCATTTTTTGGGTCTTAATCACCGGCCCTAATTGGTCAATTACGCTCATTACCGTCTCCTCGGTAGAGAGGCGAGTCGAACGATAAAATCTCTCTCCTCTCTCTTCCTCTCCGTTTAGCAGAGGCTGTTTCCCTCCCACCAGACTGCAGCGACGGGTAATCCATGCCCCTTAGAAACGAGCGGATAGCATTTGCAAGAGAGAAACTTATCCCCTGGCAGGAAAAATCAACGGGTCTATAGCCTGGGTTCAGTTTGTTCCGTGGATAGAAACCCCTTGCAACCGAGGCGGAGCCAAACGAGCCATGCCCCTTCTGTCGCCTCGCAGGCCTCGCCCACTTTTGGATTTCCCCTTTCTCACACTTTACTCCCCTCTCTCGGCTCCGTTCAAGCTTGTTCGTCGTCTCTTTTCAAGCTACGTCCCCCACTAACTACGGCGCCTCCACCCGCAAAACGAAAAAGTCCGAGCGCCGCAGCCGGCGATGGTCAAAGTCAGTCCACACGGAGAGCTCGAGTCGAGTAGAGGCTAGTCCAGGTCAGCTGGCCAGAGATCCATCGATCCGTCGATCCCGGCACCTGTCAAACGCGCGACAATCCGTAAACGGACTTTCAGTGACTCCTTCAGCCTGTCATCGATCGTGACTTCCGTTACCTTCGAACCATTTCTGTACTTTTCCATTGGGATTCATTCGTCAACCGGTGACAGACAGTGGAAACATAGAAGTACACTTTGATTCTATTGTTTTCGAAGTCAGTGAGAAGATTGGGACAGTTTTTGGGTAGACACGAGATGCTGGAAGATTAAAAGACTAGAGTGATACAGTGAAGGGAATAAGGGTATACAGAGAGTGTTCAATCGCGGTCTAAGAATGACAGTACTAAGGATGACCTCCCCGCTGACGCCTCCATCGACCAGTCCAGGTTCAAACGAGGCACAGGCACCCCAGGCGACGTCGAAGCCGGTGCATCGATTGAGCTTCTCCGTCGCTGCTCTGTTGGCAGACACCAAGAAGTCCGACTCCTCAAGACAAGAGACATCCTCCGTCTCACCTAGATCGTCACCACTGACATCCTACTCCCCCGTCAGACAAGATGCTCTCCCCCTGTCGATCACGCCGAGTTCGATCTTGCAGAAGTATCCGAGCGACTACAGAACAAGGTATCTCTCCGTCTCCCCTGGCATCCAGGAACACAGGCCGAGTCCGTATACCTTCTGCGACACCTCCAGAAGTGCCATCGACGCGAGGATATCGAGCAGGTTCTCCGAGTCGGAATTGGATAGGATAGATTCGCCTAATCAGCGAAGCAGGAGCATAGATTACATGATCCAGACGTCTACCGACTCTGGATCCACATCAGACGCGGCGGCTTGTTCCTCCTCGCCTAAAGCTACCACGGTCAGTCAGTCCGACTTTGGTCCTCCATCTCCCAGGAGCAGCTCGCACGAGGCTAGGTCCAGGTGTTCCGAAACGGAGGACATCGAGGAAGACGATGAAAACAGTTTGGTAGATGTCGAGGACCTGCAGCATCACCATCAGAGCACTAGTCCCACGCCGGTCAGGCCGACGCCAGCCTATTTCGCAGGGTTCTCCAGTCTGGGCAGCATCTCTGGCATCCCCGCTGGTCTTCATCCAGCGGTTTGGGGTGGTGGGCATCAGAGTGCAGCCGCAGCCGCAGCCGCAGCCGCCGCTGCAGCCGCGACAGCCGCGGCCGGCTTCATCCCCACGCATTTCTCGCATCATGCACCCCTAAATGGTGAGTACTTTCTTGGACTTTTAACACTTTGACAGCTTGCTATTTCATTTTTATCTTTTAAAATGTATAAAATTGCAGCCATCAAAGTGTTAGAACATTGTCTATAAGTCTTAACAGGCCTTCGTTTTTCCCTGCATGGTTCGTCGGGGTCGTTTGCCATTTGCTAGGGCGACGAAAACCGCGCTCGGCTCGCCTTTGAACCGCTGGCCAGCCGCCAATCGGCGCGAACTCTTCTTCGTTGGATTCTTTTCGTGGTTCGTCCGAAACTGGTCCGATCGTAAACTCGTTAAGCAGCCCAAGGTGGGTTAGAATCCCTTGGTCCGGATCGTAAATGCTAGCTCGGTCCGTTCAATGGAGCCGACGGCTTCGACATTCCACTAGCTTTTCTCGTCCTCGTTCGTTCGTTTACTGCCGGATAAAATTAGTCGCCGGTAGAGTTGAACGGAAGTCTGCCCGCATCTGATGAATCCCTCGATTCCTGTGCATCCTCTATTTTCGCATTGTCTGAAAGCGCGAAACGAGACCGGGCGATCTTCGATTGAGAAAGTATTTCCGTCGAGAAACGATCGGAGAATTCGTAGTCCCTCTAAGTGCTCCGCGGAAACACAGTGAAACTATTCATTTGCAATTCTAAGTTACATAGGAATCGTTCCTCTCTTCTTTAAATCCTGTACACATAGCCGGAAGATTTTAAAATCACCGTGTTCGATATTGATTTTGTAGCTGACAAAGACGTCTGGTAACTGATCAAACAAGTCGACAGGCCAAGTTAGGATATCTCAAATATTAAACGAAGGGTAAGAGAGAAAAAAGAAAGGCTAATTGATAAATTGAGACACGCGGTGTTGGAGCAAGCTAGATTATTAGCAATTCAATTCGCGACACGAAACCCAGTCACCTAAAATCACCGCGAAAGGAATGCAGTTCTCGGAACGATCGAGCGCGCGGATGACTCGTTGCGATTGAATCATCGTTAACACTAATTATTGAGGTCGCGGCTTGATAATTGCGCGGGGCTCTCGTTAAAGAGGCAATCAAAGTTTTCTCGCTTGGTCGGAGCGCCGCCACGGAGGCTGAAAGAATCGAACAGAGGGCCGGTTCTTGTCGGAGCTGGTGGAATCCGGACGACAGACAATAGGTGATTATTGCAAAAAGGTGTTGCAACTGCGAATCGAACGAATGGAAAACCCATTCGTCGTGTCTTCCAATCACCATTATCCTCTTCTCTCCCCTTTTTGTTTATTTTCGATCAATTAGAGAAAATTTATTCGATGTTCCTTCGTATTGTTACTCGTTTTACTTTCATTTTTCTTTTCCCAGAAAAGTATTTGTACATTCGTAACACTGACAGCCTTAGGGGTGGAAAGTCAATGCGACTGAAAAGCGCTAACAAAACACCAGACGCACAATATTGCTTTTTAGCGCAGACCCGTTATGTCCTTGTCAATTTATGGATCATTGTCGGTCGATTGTCTGGCAATTTAGGGTGCTACACGAGCGCGCCACAATCGACCATAATCGCTGGAGTTTTGGTCGGACGCGTCTCGTAGGGGAAACAGCGTAATTTTGAAATATGGCCTCTCATAGAGGGTGCTCTCGCAGATTGCCTAACCCTTCAAACTTTCCTTCGTCTCTGCCATAGTAATTCTCTCGAAGGGGTTGAAAACAGGGGTTGCTTGGAAAGATAATAAAGAGAAGAAGATGAGGCTCGATAACAAACCGTTTTCAACTACACGTGTGTTCACGTTCGTGCAACAGATTTCCCAGAAGTAACGAGCTACGATAGATTCAACGAGGAAATTAGACTTAACAAATGTCGACACTTATAAATTAATTGCCCTTTCATTAGAGAAGCGAGGGCAATTCATTTAGATAATACGGATAAACGTTGTTCAATTCGGGATAACGATGCAGTAATGTAACGTTCCGGGAATTTCGATTTCTAATAAACCTTGCCAGAGTAAGTTCATGCGAGCTCGCCGATCGTTTATCGATCGGATCGGCTTAACAAGAGGTGCACGTAGATCGTGGCCCATGGAAACGTTACGCAACGCGACAAAGAGAGGCCGATCGGACGAACGGGGGATTTCACCTTGCCTTTTTCTCGGCGCAATCGTCTCCGCTGTGGATATCTCCCCGGGATCAGCTAATTATTTTGCTAATTTGCATGAAAATCGATTCGAGGGGCTACGTTTTTATAAGTCGATACGCGATTTTCTTCCTGTTTCTATTTCACAGAATCCACCGGTTTCGTTCTTGGAAAAATTTACAGTTCCGACTTTGTCCCTGACGAATCCGATGGATCCTCTTTGTTTTCTCGAATCATCCTCGAATTCGCGGAACGAGATATCTCCACGGGATCAGCTAATTATTTCGAGTGCAGTGCCTCGATCTCGGAGTCGGATTAAAATCAATTGAATCACGTTTTTCGGTGGTCGCCAGGGAGAAACGAACGTCGAAAGAGAGACGCTGGAATACCGAGACTAATTGGGACCCTTAGAGAGTGGTTGTTAGAGAAAGGCGGAGAGAGATCAGAGCACAAAGGACGATTCTCCTTCGTCACAGAGGTTGTCTCGGAGTCGCCAAAGCCCTGTTCGCGAATCCCGAAGCAGGAAGAACGCGATTCCATGGGAGATGGTCTGGGGAGGCCTGGCTCTCTCTCCCGTGGAAAATTTGAAATTCAGACGCGACGAGTACGATCTTCTTGGCCTTTTGTCTCGAGCCTTCTCTTCCGATCTCTCCTCACCGCAGACGTTCACCTCCGACTCTACAAATCTGTCAATTGTCTCCAGACAAATCTCGAGGAATATAACCGATATATTCTGACACGACTCTCTCTCTCTCTCTCTCTTATCTTCTCTTTGCTCAGCGTTTCGTTGTCTTTCATTGTTTTGCCTTGTTGTACCACTGCCGACACGAGGCACTTAATTCCGAAATTGAATCAGGGATCTTCAAAGGGACGATTTCCTTTCTCTTTGTTAATGTTCAACAATTTATGGATCTTCTTGTTAATACACTTTGAATCTTCATTATTTTCTAAAGTCACTCGTTTTATTTTCCGCACGAATCTACATGTTCAAATCTAAGTATCTTTAACCGCGAAGGATAAAAACAGCTCTATAATTTACCCCTTAGAGTACAAGACCACTGTTCCGGCCAGGTCAATAATAATCGACTGCCTACAAAATCGTTCCCAAGAAAACATAAAACAAAAAAACCTGAACCTTCCGTCGTGGTTGCAACAAATTTTCACGCAAAACGTCGCCTCAAAGTACCGCAAGATTGCCTGGCGATCTCTTAAAACCTCCGTACGAGCGATCGAAAGGTCTAACCGTGTTAGAGAAGCGAGCAAGCGAATTACTCGCTCATCGGGTAAACGGACCGCGGCTATTATCGGTGCGCCTTTCTCCGGGGGACGATATATCGCCGCTAATGAATACAAGCGGTTAAAGGAACAATTCGCTGGCCGGAATCTTGCGGTCGTCGGGCAAAAACGTAATGAGGCCAGTTTGCGGCGCCGTTCGGACGGGAAAATTATGAATTGACCCGGTTGAAAAAGTCGCGTTCGTTTTCCTGCCGTTGTGTCCCGGTGAATCGGGCAAAAACAGGACGTTGCGGTTGGCCAGGGTTCGCTTTTACCCGCCCCCTTGATCCCCGATGCAGCACGGTTGCAACGCGGTTGTTCGTGGCCGAGGGAAGACGACAACGATGATCCTCGAGCGTAACACGTTCCTCGTTTCGGTTGCAGAGAACGGAGAACCGGCCAAGATCAAGTGCAACCTGAGGAAACACAAGCCGAACCGGAAGCCGAGGACACCTTTCACCACGCAACAATTGCTGGCGCTCGAGAAGAAGTTCACGGAAAGGCAATACCTGAGCGTCGCCGAGAGGGCCGAGTTCTCGTCATCGCTTCATCTGACCGAGACCCAGGTGAGTGTCTTCTTCATTTTTATTATAAAATTGCATGCTTTAAATCAATAAAACGTAATAATTGAACGTGGATACATTAAGGATTCTAAACTCTCAGAGACTCTAATAGAAAGGTAATTAGAGAGCTATTGTGAAGTAATAAACGCAGCAATTAAATAGGAGAAATTCAGAATGCATTCGCTTAGAGATAATTTTTATTAGCTCACAGTGGCATGCCTCGTGCATTAACCGTCCTGCGACTCGTTCGATTAACTAGGTTACGATTTAAAGGCCAGCGAGTTCGCAGAGGTGGTATTCGATAATTAAACTCGGCTAGTCTCATCAGCCGATGCTTCATTCTAGACCTTTGAATTTCTCTTTATCGCTTTTACCGAGTGCTACAGTTTATTAAACCAAGTGAAAATCCTTTTGAACTGCGGCTACTCTTGTTTATCTCATTACAATTTCTAGAAGGATCATTTAATTTCCATTTAATCTTAGACCAATCTGTCGTCTTCCACGCGTTGCTTCGTCTCTGGAATTACCATTTAGCATCGACTCGAGACTCGAAGGCTTCTTTCTTCCGTTTGTTCTCGCCGACCAGTTTTATGAGTCGAGGGTCTCTCCCGGTATAACAGATCCGGACAGAGGTTTGCCAGATGCAGGGTAATTAGCGCGCGTAAGAGTGCACTTCCCCAGAACTTTCTGGCAAACAACACGACGATTTTATTAATAGGCTACAAATTGCACGAAACGCGCGATGACCGACCAATTACCTCTTGGTTTCGCGTCTCTTTGCTTATATTGCTTTACGAAAACACAAGTAAGACCTATGCGTGTCCGTCGACACGATTCGTTTAGCGCCTCCATTGTCTCTGGAGAGTTATAGACTCTCGACAAATTCGTTCTATTGCGGGATTCGGTGAATCACTTAAGGACGTTCGAAAGGCTTCTGTATTTTTGGAAATGACTCTGGCGCAGAGAAGCTTTTATATAAAAATAAAAGTATTTATTGAAACTTCGATCGGTCAATCGAGACAGAAGCTAATTTTTTTGCTGCAATCTCTCACCACACGATCTCGGATCGTTTCGTTTCTCGAAAATCGACGCAACGATCGTCTGGAAACCGCAAGCAGAGCCGAACGAAAGCTACCGACCCGTCAAGGTACACCGAGTTAACCAACGAGTAACAAATATCCAACGTTTGCTTCATTGTTGCAGGTGAAGATCTGGTTTCAAAATCGACGCGCGAAAGCGAAACGGATGCAGGAAGCGGAGATCGAGAAATTGAGGATGTCGGCGGTCAGGCAACACCACACGGCTCTGTACGGTTCTCATCCGGGACTATTGGCCCCGGCCAGTCTCTATCCCGTTGGAATGCTCTCTCATCCAGGCTTAACACCCCATCATCCGATCTCTCAACACCCGTCCAGGGAATGAAGGCAACCGGAACACACGGAGACCATCCAAGATCGGTAGCGAACAAACGATTTCCTTTTGGAATTATTGATAGATCGGTGAATCGATCGTAGACTGAAGACTTATGAAGAAGTTGAATAGATAGACTGATGAAAGAGCAAATCTGAGCAAAGTGTTTGGATGAATAAAGTTCAAAAGGTGGAGAATTTAATAGAAATTGAAAATTTTGAATAATCAAGTGGGGTTGTTTCTGGATCTGAGGAGGACATTTGATCTGACCAAAGTTGATGAAGGAAAAATCTAACCAAAATGGAATCATCAGACAATCGACTCAATGTATACTTTATTTTCAGGAACTTCAATTCGAGTGAATTGACTGAATCGTCCAATTAAGGGTGAGAAAATATATAAAAGACAAAGTGCTTCCATGGGGAAGTCAGAATCTATTTGTGCCAATTTCAGATGAGTCCTATTAGGATCCATCTTTGTACATAGTCTGTAAATATTGTTCTCAAGTTGAAACTAAAGGTAATCCTGTAAATACGATGCTCGTAGATTTACGTGAGGGGAACGGTGGATCGACACCACCGAGCCTTTTTCCAATTTTGTATAAATGTAAAACCATCGTCGAAGAGAGTAGCAGAGTTTATTTAATAAATCACAGTATAGAAGCACAACGATCCTGTTGTTCCTCACCGTTAATTCCCAGTTGGAGTTCCCGTTGACGAAGCAGAAAATTCTGAGTGGAGATTTATGGATCTTTACACTCGTATTGTAGATATCAATCTTAGGAATTTTGATTTTTGAATGGTCCACAGTGTATTTTAATTAAAAATCAAGAGGCAAAGGTTATTTAACGCTGTTCGAGGCCTCCAAGAGTCAGATGAACGTTTCATAATTACTTTCTTCAGGAATCTGAGGATGCATTGAAATTTCAGTGCGTCGAAATTTACACTTTTTGTAAACAAGGGTTTATATTTAGGTGCAATATTGTCAAAACGTTGACGAAAATGGGCAGCAATCCATCTTAATATCAGTGCAACAAATTTTAGCTGAAAAGTTGCATAGATATTCATAGAATTTGAAAAGTCAGGAAGAATAAGAACAGTTATGGTCATCTTGTGAAAAGTATAATTGGAGAATCGATTACGAGTAATTTTTTATTTGTACATGTGTCAAAAGAGATACTATGGGAAATACCAGCTCAATCAATTCGCCTTCTTTCATTCTCGAAACCTACTCGTCAGCAAATCAAACCTATTCACATGATGGCGTTTATTCGAGCAAACACAAGCGGTGACGTAACTCGAAGAGACTTTCTTCGACCTCCTCTAACAAGTTCGGCAATCATCGGCTACTAATCAACGACAATCTTACCAATTCACGCCGGGCTTCCTTTTACATCTTTGACCGTGAGTCATATTTCACGAAATCATCGGGTGTACCGTCATCCTTCGGTGTTCTCACTTTTCTCGGTAAGCTTCCTTTAATTTATCGATTCGTCGACATTGATCAATCGCATTAATATTTTTATTTTTTAATATAAATCAAAGAGAACACTGTGTTGAATAATGACCTTTAAACGAGTGATTCGTACCATCGATTGAGTCATTTTGTTAGCAGAATTAAAAATAGTACGTTTCTATGCATTTGAAAAACAAATTCTTTAATTTCAATTAGTCAGCGAATGTAAAAACACACTGTGCTCTTTGTAAATTTGATACTAAATAATAAATACACAAAGTGTACTACCAGTTTCCTACAAGATCCACTGAATTAGCTTCAGTGAACCAACGGAAGTATTTAATCGTTCGATTAGAGACAACAGCAGGCGTTTAGCATCGACGGATAGGGGTGAATGGAGTGCCGTTAGGGTGCTGGTAAAGGGAAGCTATCCTAGGGTGCAGAAGAAAGATGCTGCTCTTGAAATGAACCATCAAATTGAACCAGCATTAAAATTATATCCACAGGTTAAAGAAAAATAAAATTTCGATGAAGATACAATGTCCCCAAGAAGACATCCCACATTTCTTTTCCAAAGGAACATAATTAACTGAAGGTAATTTAAAAAATCTGTAAAAACATGTATATAAACTTTGAACATTCAATTACATCTTATCCGAAGAGATGTTTATCGGTTCTCCCTTTGCTAAATTCTCAACGACCATCATGAATCATCCTGCCTCCAGCAGCAGCTCGGTGCGCAGCGTTCAAATGACCGAAATCCGTCATCAATCATCCTAATGACCGTGACAATCGCGCTAGGATCACAAAGCGCACGGCGATGTCTGACTACCGTCGTAAAGAGATCGCTAATTAGTCGAAGGTATCGTCTGCACCTGTAACGATGGAAAGCATACAAAATTCTCGCCGGTGTTATCGATCGAGCCGTGTACCTCGATTTTTCTCGTTCACCGGGCCAATGATAATACGGCATTAACGTGGACGAATGATGCGCGCCGAGAGGGTCGCGCAGAGTTAGGGCTAACAAGCGAGCCGGTAGCTTAGGCGATATCATCTTATCGATGTTATCTGCTTACATGAAACAGTGAGCGAAACAGGTAAGCGGACGAGCTCTGGTGGCCGGCGACTAATTACGCGATTAAAATTCTGGCGTACCGAGCGGAAAGAACGGGATGAGCAGCTGGAAACAGGGTATCTTATGTTATCGAATGAAAATTCTTGCCTAGGATCTTTATGTTTTCTTGTTATTTAGTTTAGGGATGGTCCGTCGAGGAAAGTTGAAAATAAGTCACGATCGCGTCTGGGTGCCGGGGTACCGCGAGCACGAAGGTCCGATGACAATCTCCAGAGGGTGAACTTGCCATCCTTTCGGCCACCTTCCCGTGGACAGTGGCACTCTCGCGTCCGCGATTACGTCGCGACGATTACGTGGTAGCCGAGAATGGCGTCTCTGTGCGTACATGTCGCGGGAATAAATTAGCCGTGGCAATTAGTTTCGGAATCGACCCGCCCCGGGCGGCCGGCGCCACCATCTTGATTGCACCCGTGGAGAACCTTTAAAGACAGTAGCCAGCACTGTTTGCCGAAAGGCTCGAGAGCGCCGTTCGCGCGGCCTAATTAGCGATGCCCACCGAGATATCGCCGACGTACGCTAATAATACCGAGCATAAATATTCCGAATTTTTTCGTCTGGTGGCCCGTCCGCTTCTCGGATCCTCCTTCCTTTCCTACTTTATCCTCGCGGATCGACTCGTTTCCTTGCCTCCATTTCAGCTCCGGCTATTGCTAATTTCTTATTGTTGTTATCTTATCGACGAAACCCCTTTACCTCGCAATTCTGAACTTTTCTTTTTTCGAACAAGGTAAAAGCTGAATTTCAGAATCGAAACAGGATCACAGGAGTGTGCTAATACACCTTCTGATCCAGTGTATTTCCTGCAGCCAATCTCCACCTCATTTACTCATCATGTATCATGGCTCGTTAGCTCTAAGGACGAACAGTTTCTCTTCGTTCGTTTCACGTGCAACCGCTCGTTGAACGTAATTTTTCGTGGTAGATAAGCCAGCACTCAAACGGTGCATCGGCCTCGTACTTCCCTTATCCTTCGGGATCTCCGTTAGAAAATCATCGTCAGAATCTTCTATCAGGCAACTGGTCGGTTTATCTCGCTTTTCACCGACTTAATAAGCGCGAGCTGGTCGCTCGAGCGACACCGCACGAAATTTATTGTGATACGGGCCGTGATGGACCCAGAATTCCGGGAATTTCTTCGACCACGTCGCTCAATAACGTTTCTGAAACGTCCATCGAGAGATTTTCATAATTGTGTAATTATGTAAGCCTCGGTTTATGAAATGGGAGAGTCGTTCGTTTTGCATCATTGCAGAAATACCGCAATTTTTAATTTTTAATGAAAGAAGAGTTACATCTTTGTAAAGCTTCCTTTAAAATCGAACTGAGTCTGTTTCTTTTTTTTTTACAGATTCATTCTATTTCTTCTACGAAGGCAAGGAAACTTATTTAATTTATTCCGAAATATGTAAACATCGTTTTAAAACCTTTTTCCTTCTTCGTTAGATCACCGGTTAGAGTTTTTATTGTGTAATTTGAAAGATTGATGGACCAATCCGTCGAGGAAAGATATAAATTTAAAATCAAATGTTTTAGCTGGTTTTTATGCTTCATGGTCGAGTATATTTATGCGACAATTATAATAACTTCTTCACTTTACGAAGTAAACGGTCTCGTCGGACAAAGTTAGTAGCAAATAAATTAATAAAAGTTAATTCGTGTAAATTTAGCAACATTTCGGTTTTTAATTGGAGAGCTAAGATATCACAAATTAAAGTCATATAAATTATCATTAATTAAGGATTATATCATTTTAAGATTCTAAAGTTTTATTTCAGAAGTGTTCCAATCACCTCCTTTCTAATTTTCCTGTTACAATCATATATCTATCACTTGCTCTTAAATTATGAAGCAATTAGGTACAGATAGGCATTCTCGATAAATTTGCAACATTAATGGATTCTCCAAAAAAAAGAGTCGAGAAATGATCATAACGGAATAGTTAGGAAGAGAAACCAGAAGATTGGAATGTTTCAACGCTCGTTGAATTCGTAGCATCGTCGGACAAGTTCTCCTTATCGCTCATTTGCTACAATTTGATACAGAGTACCAGGGAAAAAATGGAAAAATGTCGCGATAACCGGGCGTTCAATAATAATAATCGTATCAGCTCCTCGTGGTATCGTCTGGCACAAACAAACGGCAGTCTTCAGCTGCTAATTTATCGACACGCTAGCCTCGTTAAAGGTTCGCCTTATTACCGTGATTCTTAATTCTCGATTACGTAACATCGTCCAATTGTAGATCTCTATAATTGAGGCTCGATCGATCTCTAGCGAAAAGTAATTTCTCTGCTACCAACACGCGTGTTACGCAACCGAATCGTTAATTAATTAAGAAGAACCGAGAGATTCATGGACGTAGAAAAAATTGATTAGCATTTTGATTGGCTCGAGGATCGGCCTCAAAATTACAGAAAAACAGAGGGAGAAAGTTGAAGATAAGAAGCTCGAAAAAAAAACATGCTTCTTTTTTTGAGATACTAATTCGTTATGTAACGTGACTGTTTTTATACCGATTATGACAGAGGACGATAACATTATCAATTTGACGCGTTGCCCGCTAATTATTCGCTTACGTTAATTACGGTGTAAACAGTGGAACGATTGCGAAATTATTGTTCGAGGAAACGCGTTTCTATTTTGTTAACGGAAGAGAAGCGTGCCGTGGTAGCAAAAGGAAGCGTTGTAACGCGGATTGCAGAGGGACCGAGCGGAATTTGTACGGAAATTTATTCGTTGAATGCTCGTTCGACTCGTAACAGTGCATCGAGCCGGGCCGACTTGGTTTTAATCGACGCTTAATGGATGCAAATTTCATTCGGAACGGGGAGGATGGGTTCGAAACGAAGGGACGGGTTCGAGAGGCGAACGGAACCGGCGCCATCAAGGCAAATTTCCGTAATACTTTTTCCCCGGTGAAAGTGATTCTAACGAATCACCGTGATCGTTGAATTTAATTACTGGGATCGAGGCGATCAAAGAGGTCGTTTATACTCGAAACTTTCCTCGAAGAGACTTCGATGCTGAAACGAAAATCGTAGAAATTCTAAAAACAACTCGGTGTAATTGGAAACGATAG